ACAGACATTTCCCCATGTGGCGGAAAGCGTATGGGCGAACTCGCTGGCAGAAAAAAATTTCCACGGAGGATTGGAATTAAGTTTGCGACTTGAATCCAAGGGGATGGGAGAGAGTATCACGGGTATCGACTTAACTCGGTATTTTGCCAAGGATGAGCGTGTATGTGTGTGCCACGACGTCGTTGCGCAATCGTAACGGTAAAAACGTTTCCGAGACGATAAATCGTGCGGGAGGAGCGGTCGAGGAAAATTAAATTACATGAAATTTGAACGAATGAGCGAGACGGTGCGCTTACGAGAAACAGAGAAAGAGAAGTAGAGAGATATATAGAGAGAGAGAGAGAGAGAGAGATAGAGAGAGAAGGAGGGAGAGAGAGAGAGAGAGAGAGATTAATATCTAATACAGGGACACGCGGTATCGCGCGCGGCGCGGACGATCTATCACGTAATGGACGATTTGTGGGGGATTCAGATTTATTTCGAATCGCGTCGCAGACGTCGGGCAATACGCGGCTATCTGATCGTCCGGGAAATACGGCGGTGAAAAATTGGCGGCACGGTGGCACCGGTTAAAGGTCCGGGGGGTTAAACACGGTATTACGCGTCTCTTGCACGCGTCTTCTTCTCGCTCTCGCTCTCTTCTTCCCCCGTCCCCAACTTTCTCACTCTCTCTCTCTCTCTCTCTCTCTCTCTCTTTCTTGCTCCCGTCGGCCTATGAGACTTCATATTTTCCGCAAGTACACGAGCGTATGGAAATAGGAGCAGAAATAAACGCGACCGGGACAGTCGTTCCTCGGGATCCTCCGACGTCGTTTGCATTTCTCATAAGCGCGGCCGTTTTTTCGCGGCCATACATACACATTTTTTATATTCAACCTGCCGCCGCCGGTCGGCCGGTAGCCCGTGAAAAAGAGAAGCGGGATAGGAAGAGTGAGATATTTACTAAGTGCTCGGAGAGAAAGTTCCCGGTAGCGTTAGGAGAGCGCCATCGCACATAGAACTATAAAATTGGAGCGCGAAAGAAAGCACGTATGAAAGCAGCTTGTAAGAGGGTACATTAGGTAATGATACAGGCGGTCTTCGTGTTATTGTCATTACGTAAGGTGGTAAACGAGAGTGATAGAGAGGAACAAGAGGAGGGGGTAGACGGAGAAAGAGAGAAAAATCCAATTTATTAATACTCTGGGATCATCTCGATCTCCCCTAAGTGCATACCGGAATAACCAGTTCCGGGCAACGCTGGTCGTTATACAAGTATCATAAAAATGATCGTATCGTAATCGCGTAAGGACGGAGGAATTAAACGCTCGCATTACCACCCATCTACATCTAACGTAATACGTATAACACATCAGCGTGGCAAGAAAGAGCAAGAGAGAGAGGGAGAGAATAATTTTCCGTACGAGCAGACCGAGTGAGAAGACGCGCGCGCGCGCAAACGAACGCGGATTAATTGCATCCTGAGGAATGAGCGTGCCGAGGATCTTAATAAAAAAAGGGGAAGAAAGGAAGAAAAAAAAGGAGGGAAAAAATTACATAGGACATCGCGGAAACGGATGAAACGCCGGTGGAGATGGTAGCGAGAGAGTAGGAACAAATAGTCAAGATAAATAACAAGAAAGATTAAGACCGAGGCCGAGCAGTGTCGGAGAAGATAGAAACCGGGGGAGGAGGGACGACAACTCTTTAATATTTGCATATTGCACTTTCCGCAAGGAATCGGAACGGTGAAGAAAGATAGTAAGAGCGAGAGAGAGAGAGAGAGAGAGAGGTAGGGATGAGGAAGAGGAGTCGGAGGGAATCAATGCGAGAGCGCGACCTCCTTCTCTCGCGAAGTGTTAAATTAAATTATTATTATCTTCATTATCATTAAGCATACCGGGAGATAGGGTGCTCCCCCTTCTCCCCCGACCCGCGCGCGCTCGCGGCCCCCGATATACATCTCGTGGGCCCGCGCGAGCGCGGGCACACATACACGACGCACGCGAGTACGCGCGGCGCTTCCGTGTATTCGTAGGAAGGAAGATCGAGGTACGAGATGTCGGCGCGCATATAATTCTCCCGGGGCGCCATTAAATTGTATTAATCCACTTCCATCACGAAATTGGAGTTCATACACGATAAACGTACGTACGTACGTACGATGTACCCGCTGCGAGACGCCGCCACGCGCTCTCCGCGGGGGTGCACTTTCCCGTCCCCCAGTCGCTTATCCGCCACTTGCCTTCTCCCTCTCTTCCTCCCTTCTTATCGATCTAGAGACAAATTTTTTCATCCGTCGATATCTCGTACGAAGATCGCCGCGACACCCTCCCTGCGCGGATCGTTTCGCCCTTATTAGCCCGGAGCGGTATAGAGGGAAAGAGACAGAGGGGGAAGATTACGGACAAAACCGAGGCACCGTGAGAGGCCGGATCGGCCGATATCGAAGTATCGATACTTCTTGTCTCTGATACCGCCGCGCTCGCCGGGGATCGATTACGCGAAATGAAGACGTTAAGGACCTCTCTCTCTTTCTTTCTCTCTCTCTCGCGGCCGATAATTTCGAAACGCGTATACGGCCTTTATATATACAAGAACGTTGTACCGCTGTTCTTCCCGATTCTCCTTGATTTATCTTCTCTCTCTCCCTCTCTCTTTCTTTTTCCTTTTCTTTACGAGTTATCAGAGCAACGTCGTCACGACGCTCCGAACGATTTTCCGCGGAAGCGTCTTATCGGCCACTCGATCGGCAGCCGTATCGAAAGTCCGTTAAATTATAAGTATTCCACAAAGTAGTCGCGACATACACACATACACATACCCACGAACACACACACACACACATACCGTGCTGGTAATTGGGTCGTCGTACGCCACTACCGCCGCGGGGTCGGAGTTACCTCCGGATTCGAGCTCCACTCGCGTTTTCCGACAATGTCGTTGTTTATCCCATATCGCGAAATGAGTTTCGGAATGAGTGGCGTGGGAGCGAGTGTAACGCGAGAGGTGCAAAGAGACCTAGGAGGGGGGTGGAGGAGGAAGAAGCGTGTAGAGGAAAGGGGGGGACGCGAGAGGTCTCGGAAATGCATATCTCGTATGCCGCAATCGTTTCGCGAATTGAAGAGCGCGTTGGAAAAATTCCGGCGGGAGGAGGGGCAGCGCGGGGCAAGACTTGGAATCGGATTGGCGGAGGGGGGGGGGAAGAGACAATATACTTTTTATCCCGTGTAGCCGCCGCCGCCGACTGCGCTATCATCTATTTTTTCACGCGTTTTACATTCGTAAACCGAATACTCTTCTCTGAAATCCGCGGCCGCCTGAGTGCGCGCGCGCGCGTTGTTCTCTCATAAAGCTCTGAGCTCGCCCGCGTATTTTACGCGTGCGCCCGCGCGCATTAAGAGAGATGCTCTGCATGGCGCGTAAAAACTCGCGCGTAAAAGCCGGCGCGCATAAAACGCACCCCTTCTCGCCGGCCTCCCTCTACGCCGAATGATCTCGAATCGATGCGTGTTCGATTATCGCGAGGTTTTTAAGGGTTTCAGCGGGAGTTACGTGTATTCGGCGTGCGGAGGTACGTGCGCGAGTTCCTGCGGCCTTCCGTAGCGTTCTCGCTGAATCCCGATGAAAAGGGAAACATTTTAATGCTCTTCCGCATTACATATCTCCCCGGCGCTGCACGCACGGAGCGCGCATCCTAGAACGCGGGTTACATTTGTGGGTTACACACGCGCTTTCGACGCTTGCTTTCCTCGGATCGGGATCATCTTAGTCGGATTAGCGCAGTTGCGCCATTAGGTTTTTCCGTGTAGATGCCGGGTAAGGGGAGGGAGTATTTTCTCGCGTTAAAGCATTTCCAATACTTGAGCATTCGGCGATTACACTTCACGAACTCGAATGCATAAGTCACGCGGCCCCCCGCTTAAAAATTCAGAAACTCAGCACTTTAGTTATTACCAATAGAATGTCATTCTCGTCGCGGCAGAATAAATGTATGACTACTTTCAAACGGCTAGTGCGGCAGGAATCAGTAATATCCTCCGAGCGCGACCCGGCCCTTCGAAAGTACATCTCTCTCTCCTATTTCATAACTTTGCCAATTTCGAGAACACAGGAGCGAGAAAATAGTGTAAGCTCTCCGAGAGGAAAGCTCGCTCTCTTTTTCTCTCTCTCTCTCTCTCTCTCTCTCTCCCCGGTGGACTAATGTCGGGCTAACGGGGGCGAGAGGAAAGAAAAATAGGCGGGGAAAGAATTAATCGCGATATTCCAATTAAGATGAAAAATTCCCAATGCGTTAAGAGGAAAGTATTTCTAAAATTTGAAGGAGAGACACAGAGAGAGTGAGCGAATGTAGCGCCAAGCTCCAAGTATCTCCGAAGAATTCGTCATGGTGGAAAGGAATCCACAAGACACTGAGGGCAAGGTATCGCGTATCGAGTGTCGCCGGTTCGTTAAAGCAATTTTCTCGACGGTTATTTTCCTGTCAAATTTCCCTCCGAATGAAAAGCGGGGCGCGCAAACGGTCTCGAGTGTCTTCGAATAATTCATCACCGCGATGAGGAACAGAGGCGGAAAAAGAGAGAGAAAAAGAGACAGAGAGGGAGAGAGAGAGAACGAGGAGGATCGAACGAGACACCGCAAACAAGGCGACCAAAATAACGCGACAACCGTTGACCCTCGTTAAAACAATTTCCGATGGTTATCTTCGGATAGTGGCGCGCAAACGTGCCCGCGTTATCGTCACGCTGCACCCGTTCATAATAGCGGCGCAAATAGGCCATCGACATCGCGCGTCGCGAACAAAAGCAAAGCGGCGCGTCGCGACGGCCAGCCTCCGGGCGGATGTCCGAAACGCCGCGCATTCCCGACGCGGATCGTCGGCGATTAATCGAATCGATCGAGCGCGGGGGACACGCGTCGGCCCGCCGCATTCGCGCAACAACAACCGTTTCGACAAAGGGCCCCGCCGTCGACGGCGGCAAAAAGCAGAGCGTCCCCCGCCGCACTACGGTCGCACTTACCTCCGATCCCGAGGCAGAACAACAACACGCTGGTCAGCCCGATCCCCCGGGTCCAATCCATGATCCGGGCCGATTTCTTGCGCCGCGCGCAGTCGTTCAACTCTGAAGAGAGCCGGCAAAGACGACGACGACGAGACGCGGTTGGTGACGACGGAGGAAGAGAGCGGGCGAGATCCAAGTCGATATGACAACGTACGTTCACACAGGGCGATCGACAGGCAGGCGCGCGCGCGCGCGCCCACGCCGCGAGACAACACCGGATCAACCCTCTCCGTAACTCCTCGCGCGCGCGGTTCACATCGGGCCGTTCACTCGCGAGTGCTCGCGATATGTATCGCGATATCGCCTCGGTGTGCAATCCCTCCTCTCTCTCTTCACCAATTCACGGTACAGACGTTTCCCTCCGCAAACGGACGAAGCAACGAACTTAAGCGACGGACGGACGGACGGACGAGCGAACGCTCGTCGGCGAGGAGGCACTGCTGGGGCACTCGGCGCGCACACTACCCTCTCACGAGTCACGGCGCGGCACGGGCGACACGAGGAGGGCACACGCGTCCCGATCGTGCGGCGAGCACGCGTCGCGCGGAAATAGCGGGTGGCGGCGAGGAGGCATTCGGGGAGAGCGTGTGTGCCCCACGGTGATCGCGTGTGCGGAGTGGCGGCGCGGCGCCCCTTCCACCCTCGCGGCACCGCCCTCTCTCGCTCGCGCCGCCGACGGTGTCGCTCGGCTTCTCTCTCGGTCGTTCGCGCGCCCGAGACCGCCCGATGTCGGGGAGCAGTGCGGGCGAGATGGTGGGCGCCCCGGCACGAACCAGCCCGAACGAAAGAGAGCGCGCGGGGAGGGGGAGCGACAGAGAGAGAGAGAGGGGGGGGGGGTTCTGCGAGCGCCTGTGCGGGAGTTGCACTCTACGCATCGCCGTAAGGCGGACGATGGTCCGCAAAGGACGCGGGTAGGTAGAGGGGTAGGGTGGCAGGATGGCGCGGGGAGAGAGGAGGGATGTGCTGTTGGAGTATCGATACCTCGGCCCTCGCGATACTAAATAGTTCCCGACAACGATGACTTATCTTCGATGTCGGCGGCCGTTAGTTAACCGCAATCGGCGGAATCAAGCGGGACAGCCGTCGCTCGGCGAGCTTGGGATGCCGCGCGAAGAGAGGGTGGAACGACAACGCGATTCCGAAGGGAGTACGCGCGGATACTCGCCGCGAGAATACCGAAATGCGCGTTCCAATCCGCCGCCTCGGATCCACCTCGACACGGCGAGTAATATGCGACTCCCCCCTCCTTCCTCGCGCTTGGAGTCGCGCCGAAGAGGACTCGAGAGCGGTTCGGGTAACGCGTTCTTTTTTACGAGCCCCTCTCGCTCGTCGAGAAGCGGATTCTCGCGCACTCTTACGATTACCCTCCTCGGCTACGACCGAGTACCTGAATTACGATTCTGTATCGAGCGCTCTTCCTTGCTTCCTCCTTCTTATCCTCCCCCCGGAAAGCAGGGGCACCCGGCGAACAATAATTCACGTATTATTCGCGTTGACATCGCTAAATATCGACACCACCGCGCGCGGAGGCGGAAAGAAAGAGAAATGTACCCTCTTGGCGTCCTCTCGGTATCGAATGACTTGGGAGTATCGATATCCTATTAAGTCCGAGCGTTCCTACGCCGAGTGAGTAAAAGCATCCGCACTTAAAGTTAAGCATTCCCAGCCGTGGGAACGGATAGGTATCGACCCAACGCCCGAGCCCGATGGGCTCCCTGTATCGTTTCGACCTTACCCCGCGCGGATCGGGCACGCCGAAAAGTTAACCTTCCCCGCACTCTTCCTCCTCCCTCTCCTGGTGTTAGCTCCTAGCGGGTGCTCGTGCCTCTTAAACTCTGGTTAAACTCTTTCCATGGTGACGTAATGCGGTCTACATTCGAGCGAATTCGATATAAGTGCGCGCCGAGTTGGGCGAGATGGTTTTTCTTCGAAACTTTGAGTTACGCGGTATGAAGTCAAATACGCGCGCGAGAACGGAGAGAAGGAATACGTGTGCACGAGCGCGCGTTAAATCTTGTCTGGGAGCATCGAGATTGCCTCGCGTTTCAACGTGCATTATACGGAGATGTATCGTCAAAGACGCGATAGGTCGCGAAGCGGGCCGGGAGTAACGCGCGTTCGCAGTGAGAATTTTTTGAACGCGCAAGAGCGAGCGAGAACGGGGAGGGGGGGGGGGGGGAGAATACGGTAAATAAAAGNGGGGGGAGAGCATACGGTAAATAAAAGGATCAAGCTCTTTGAGAAATAAGAGCCGAAAGTGTTTCCGAGTTTCCCACCACCCCGTTCCCTTGGTCCCAATCCTCCTCCGTCGGTAGTCCTCGTCCGTGTTAAATGATTCCGTGTTCAAGCGACGCTTATATCGAATTCCATCTAGCATGTACGGCGTCAGGTTGCACCTGAAGGCGTAGTAAGCCGGAATGGGAGCGGCGGGTATGTAATCGCGGAGGGGGAAAGAGGCTTGGGGCGGGTTGTGCGCGCACGAGCGAGTAAAATACGATGAGGACGTAATGAGAATTTCTAATATGAAAAATCAAAGATCGCGGCGCGCCGCGCGCCGGAAAAGCGCTTTCACTCGATCAATACCGCATTTTTGCCGGGTTCACGGGCCGCGCGAACGAGGGAAACGGATATGTGAGGCATGGAAAAGCAATGTTGTGTTTGCGAGCGTCAGGTACAACTGGGAACTATCCCGTGACGGATTTATAGTACGCGGGGCCCCGCGCGACGCCATTTTTCGGGGCGCTATTATTGATCTGTCAAAATATCGATCCACCCGCGAGCTCCGGTATTCTTAAAACGCCGAAACGCCGCGATCGTCGTCGTCGTCGCGCGGAAATTAATTAGAGCCACGTTGCAACCCCCCGTGATACAAATGATTGCAACAATATTATAGCCGGCCACTCTTGTTTTTAATTATAACCGCTATTACGATAACTGCTAAATTAATTGCGACCTTAATTATAATTTCGCGCAAATTAAATTAACCTCGCGCGCGCATGTATTTCCACCGGTGTTTTTCAGCCGGTTCCGGTTAATTTAAAGCGATACACCCCCTTATATCGTACATCTCGAAACATCGCGCGAACGGCCGTTCGCGCGGAGAAATAATTACTCGCCGGCACACTTTTCTCCGGGCAACGGCCTGCCTTTTCTCGCCAGGTCTTTATTCCGGAGTCCCCCGGTGAAGCCCTTGAGCCCCGGCATCACGCGTATCCGCAAATCCGCCGGCGGCGGGACCCTCCGAAGTAATCAGAACCGCGGTATTCGCGCCACCCTACCTCTCGTCGTCGTCCCAGATATACCCAGCGTCACCCAACCTGTCTCCTCCCCTTCCTCCCTTTACCCCTCAGTCGCGTCCGACACATCCCGTTTCCCTACCCTGCACGTCCGGCTGCACGCAACGCGGCCGATCCTGGGAGCTTCCGTTTACACGGCAGCTCGTGTTTATAAGCGGAATGAATCGGCGGTCCCGGTCGGGCGGAACGGGATGATCCGAGTCGCGCGAATACCGGTGTGTGCCCGAGTCGTTTGTTTCCACCTCCGTTGTCGCGCCCGCCCCGCGGCAGGCAGATCAGATTAAGGGCCTGCGTCCGCGGTCGTACCGGGAGACTAACGGCGGGACTAGCGATGCGACAGGAGATAGACGCCGCCGGCGGCCGATACTATTGTCGCGGTCTATCTATCGCCGCGTGACTAGCCGCGTCCCTGGTCAACGCCGACAGCGAGACCGCCGGCCGTATATAATTCCGGGCGAGGCGACGACGCGCGTCGAGGTGTCGACGTCCTCCGTAATGAAATTACTCGATGCACCCTCCGTCAACTATTGCGCTTGCGTCCTTACCCGCCCGGCGAATTTCCACGCGAAGACGCGTTAACGGCATCCACGCTGATTGCGGATGATATCTCGGGGTTATCGAGCCGCGGACCTTACGCAGGCATTAAGAGTCCTCGACATCCCGTTGCTAATTACAGGAGCCAGCGACGAAGCCCCGGTATCGATACCGCGCAAATCTAACGAAGTTATTTCATACTCGGCACGGGACAAACATTAGGGAAGCATCAACAATCACGGTTACAGCGTCGCGATGCTGCCGGTGCGGCGGTACACAGGGCGGTGGCGGTACACAGGAACGCGGTCTTGCAGAACGTAATTTCGAGACGTTGATGACGTCGCCGAACATAATGAAATTACGGTAGTAGTTAGCCCGAACCGGGCCTGACATGGTGGTATCTAACTACTCGTTATTGACCGATAGTGGATAAGGACGCGACTTTTCCGAGCGTTGTTCCAACGGCGAGGGTTAACGCTACGACGACTCGTTTCGGATACGCGACCGATCCCCGAGTCGACATTTTCATCCTACTTTCGGCCTGAGAATTCCCATCTAACGCCTATTTTGATATTCTCAAACCTCGCTTGATTCTGTTTAATCTCCCCAGTTGAAACTGTAGCTTTACTTTCGGCCTCGATATTCCATGTAAAGCCTACCGAGATGCTATGAAGCCTACAGCAACCTCTTTTGATTCTATTTAACTTATGGCTCCTATTTAAACTCTGTCAATTCTACTTGGATTTGATGATTTGCTGTAGTCTCACTGTGATACTTAATATTATGTTATCGATCGATGTTATAAAATTTACTTAACAATGACAGATTTTTAGTGTTCACACTGTATTGTTACATGCGAATTTTATAACATTACATATTGACATACATCATTAATGTTATACAATAATTTAAATATTACCAATTGTTGACGGTTGTTAAATGAAAGATCCATCATGGATCACTGATGATCTACGTGGCAATAATAAACATATTAATAAGACTCGAGGAACAGGTTAGATTCAGAGAATTTGGAGAGTTTTACGAGGCTTCTCGAGTCGAAATTTTAGTGTTACTTTAAGTCTAATTTAGTTCTATATTAAGTGTTTGCAAGTTTTCTACTGCGCTTCTTTAACACAAATAGCGAAGTTATTGCCATACTTCCATTTGTAGATTTAATATATAACTTAAAAATTTATATTCTGCAGGTTTCAACTATTTGTAGCATTAAAAGAGTATTTATTGTATTCCTTCGATACTGCTTCGATACAGATAGGACATTATTTTCATCTCTTTCCTCTTGAAAATTTAATGTAGAATTTAAAATTTCGACTCGAAATATTATAAATAAGATTTTATTTCCATTTACCCCTTTGAAAACAGTATAAAATTGAAAATTTCAACTCAAAACATCTCTTTGGAACCTACAAGTGGCATTTCGTGCGTTTTCCGCCATTCAGAGGCGCTAAGTAGGACTAAAGTTTCCATATAAATTACACCTACATCCTCCAGAATCTACAAACGTTGGAAAATTCGAGTCGAAGGTAGGTCTAGAATTTCGACTCGGGTTTTATTAATTTTTGTACGATAATAATTGTAAGGCACACTTGGCTTGCTTTTGTAAACGTAAAAAGTGTAATTATCGCCGTCACGTATACATGAAGTTGGCCTCTCGTGAGAGACCGGTGCATCATAGATGCACACACACACACACACACACACATGT